GAGATGAGTTTTCAGCTGTCGCTTGAAAATTGTCAGGGATTCAGCATTCCGGATAGGGGTGGGAAGATCGTTCCACCAGCCAGGAATGGTGAACGAGAATGTTCTGGAAAGTGATTTTGAGCCTCTCTGTGATGGTACCACGAGGCGTCGCTCACTAGCGGATCTCAGACTTCTGAAGGGGATGTAGATTCGTAGTAGTGAGTGGAAGTAGGCGGGTGCTGAGTCTGTGGCTGTTCTATATGCAAGCATCAATGTCTTGAACTTGATTCGAGCCACGACAGGTAGCCAGACATGGCTACAGGCTAAGTAAGCTTTCGTTGGCTAAGCTAGCATATCAATATTCTTGAAATGTATTGTCGAAGGCTTTAAATTTATAACAAAAGGTGCTGCTTTGACGGCTGAAACAAAGACAATTCTTTTCAAAGCAGCTTTTAGCATGCTAGCATTCGCTGAGAATAAAGCACAACATGATAGAGTCGAAAGTTTTCTCTCTTCATTTGCTGCTAAAATTGTAAATAATAATAATAATAATAATAAAATAAATAAAACAACATTTGGGTTCTTGAGCTGTAGAATTGCATGGAATGTTAACATGTCGGTGAACTTTTTTGAAATCTCTCCTTTATTAGCATTAGCCTCATACAAGCTGATTCAGAGCAAACTTACATATATTTTCACTGCCATATGTGCTACACGTGACCATTTTCACATTAGCTCATTGTGTATTTTGTAATTGTCCATTTATATATTAAGAAAAGAAAGAATTCAGCCTAGTATTAGGATAGCATAGCATTAGCATTTAATGAGGAAGCATAGCATAACAATATAGAGGATGACAAAAAGCGCATCAAACAAATCATGCCTTTTTGACTTCTGTGGGCTCCATTAGACTTTTTTTTATATTGTTTTTAGGCCTGAACTGTAAAGGTTAAGTGGTTAATCAAAATTATTTTGCTCAAAAAATATAATCATGGTTATTAATTATTAGTTTTTTCATTTTAAAAAGATTTTTTACATTTCATCAGAATTATTTGAGCGTCAAATACGTCAGCTCGCATGATTTGTGCAGTTACAGCAAACAGCGCAAACGACCATGTGAAAGAAAACAGACTGGCTTGTATTACATTTTTATTTGAAAAAAAATATCTCAGTAGAGATCTTTTCACCTTATCAGCATTTTTCTATAAGAAAGAGCATGGTTTCTAGGTTGGGAAGATTAAGTAAACTATTGGGCAGAAAATGTATCGATTTAAGAGAAAAGCTTGTTTTCAGGATCAACAACCAGTGGACAAATATTGTAGAGGATTATGCTTTTTTTGAGAGAAGCCGAAATCATGATCATGATTAAAATGCGACTTCTCTTGCAGCCCTAATTGTTTTAGACAAAAACTTGAATTGATTGGTTGTACTCTGGCTTCATCCCAAAACACAATCAATGAGAACAACAGCTTGTCTGCAGCCAATAGAGCAGATATTTGTTATGTTTGGCCTCGCATGATGATATTATTAAAGGATTAGTTCACTTCAAGAATAACAATTTCCTGATAATTTACTCACCCCCATGTCATCCAAGATGTTCATGTCCTGTCTTCAGTCGCAAAGAAATTAAGGTTTTTGAGGAAAACATTCCTGGATTTTTCTCTATATAATGGACTTAAATGGGAGCCAACGGACTGAAGGTTAAAAATTAAGTTTCAATGCAGCTTCAAAGGGCTCCACGATCCCAGCCGAGGAATAAGGGTCTTATCTAGCAAAACGATCGGTCATTTTCTTAAAGGTCCCCTTTTTTTTTATATACTTTTTAACCACAAATGCTCATCTTGCACTAGCTCCATGACGCGCGTGATTCATGCATGACGTAATCACGTTGGAAAAGTCATGAGTGGTAAATCCATTTACTCCGGTTAAAAAAAGGTCACTCAATCTCATTTTCTCCTCCAACTTCAAAATCGTCCGACATCGTTGTTTTTGACTTTCTTTGCACGTTCGCTTTGTAAACACTGGGTAGGTACTTCCGCCTACGTCAAGCGTGACCTTTCCAACGTGATTAAGTAATGGATGAAGCTGAGCTGGTGCAAGAAGAGCATTTGTGGTCAAAAAGTATATACATTTTTATTTTTTTTAGAAAATTATTGATCGTTTTGCTAGATAAGACCCTTATTCCTCGGCTGGGATCGTGTAGAGCCTTTTAAAGCTGCACTGAAGCTGCAATTTGACCTTCAGCCCGTTGGGTCCCATTGAAGTCCATTATATAGAGAAAAATCCTGGAATGTTTTCCTCAAATACCTTAATTTCTTTGCGACTTAAGAAGACAGAAAAACCTTGAATGACATGGGGGTGAGTAAATCATCAGGAAATGTTTATTCTAGAAGTGAACTACTCCTTTAACTTCATTATTTTCTTTAATTGCTCCTTAATGTACAAATATATAAATGTTTTTGTTTGATGCCTGTAAAGCAATCCTGTTCTCTCATCAAAAGACCAATAATCACAACTCAGTCAATATATAAACTCAAGTTCCATCCACCATTTGTTTCTTGTTATATATCCTATTCCTGTATATTCTGTTTCTGTCCATCAGCTGGTGAAGCTATGCAGCGGTATGATCGAAGCAGGTCGTGCGTACATCAGTGCCAATAAACTCTTCATCAACGGCATTCGAGACTTGTCTCACCACTGCAAAAAGGAGGAGATGATCTCAGTAAGTTTCCCAGACAAGTGTTTCTTTGTAAATGACTCAGGTAATAGTCAGACCTTCATGAGCTGTGTTGATTTTTCAATTATTTGTTTCATTTCAGGAATGTCTTGAAAAATGTGGCGAGAGCCTTCAGGAAATCGTCAACTATCACATGGTAAGACGCGTTTTCAGACTCGCTCTGCATGGCCACATATCCCATAACAAAACACACATGCACACGTTTCAGTCAGAGGCCATAATGATTCATCATGTGTTATCATAACCTGGCGCGGCCTGTAGTTCTCTCATGGGTGCTTTTATTATTAAACCATATTACGTGTGCCATGGGGCGTAACTCAACCCAGAGAACATGGATCTCTTTACAAGGGGTGTTTGACATCATATGTGGTTGATTTATTTTATTTTTTCCACACATTTGCAGAATCATAAAAGTGCACAGGCCTGTGTTGAGTTTTTAAATGTTTGACCTTTCTGCCACTTTTAATGAGAAGCAAGTATAACTAGGACAGGAAATGTTTAGGAACTAAAGATGAAATGGGCATCGGAAAAGTTGCAAGCTGGATTCGAACTTTCGTTGGTCTCATGAGCACCAATGTAAAGTGGTTTGTACATGTGAAACCATTCATTCTAGTGGGTGACTAATCACATATATTGGTTAATCTGAGACTGAGTACGTCATCGTGCACGAGTTTTTGGGTGTTTTCCTGTTCTTGAGGATGGTGTAATTGAAAACAGAGACAGAGTGGCAATCGGTGTGCAAAGCTCAACAAGTCTCCTGTTACTGCAGCCACCTTCACTTTTAAAGAAAGAGGAAATAGCAGGGCTGTGGAATAAAGGACTTGTGGCTTTTTAATTGTCAGCCAAAGACTGCTGATCCCTTCCTGCTTGTAGCATCAGCAGCATTTGAACAGAACAGTTCGACGGTTCCTTTAGTTTCTTTGACATTCTCGCTGCTTTTATGGGTAATTAGACTCAGTTTGTTCTTGTGATAAACAGTTTTTGTGAGACATGACTGCGGTGAACACTGAATTCCTGGACTTTACCAGAAAAACGTCAAGGTCACACCCTCAAAAGAAATTTGGTGAAAACCTTTCACTTCACACAAGTGGCATTAAAAAACTAAATTAGGATCAAATGCAAGTAAAATTGGCTCACCAGTTGGCAGTTTTAGGAATTTGAACATAATAATATAATATATCAGACTATTATTTTATTTTTATTATGTCTAATTATTTCCTAATTTTTTACTGTTTTTTTTTTAATGTAAAAAATTGTTTGTTTGTTTTTTTAAGTTAAATAGTAAAAACTAATTTTACTATTTTGGACTTATTCCTGACACAGATTTTAAAATCTTGTTAAATAATAAAAATAGCTTGTAAAATTGAATAAAAGTGTTAAAATCATGAAAAATTCTTTAAAAAAATTAATAAGTGCCAGGTGATGTTAATTTTGTTTAGCATGGTGCTTACTGCTTGACAGTCTCGTTTCAGTATTATTTATACTATTATAGTATTAATTAATATTTTGAATTAGCTTTCATTTTTACATTTTCAGTTTTCATTTAAATTTTACTTGTAGTAATTTTACGGGCTTTTGTCATTTTTATTAGTTTTTGTTTTTTAATTTCTATTTAGCTTTAAATTTTTTATTTCAGTTTTAATTTTAGTCATTTTAGTACTTCAACTTAAATGTATTTTATTTCAGTTAGTTGTTCGTTTTCATTACATTTTTCATCGAATATTTGTATTTTATTTTTTATTTTATGTCAGCTTTAACAAAGTAACGGAAACTATTTTGAATACTTATAGTTTTAGTTAACAATAGCAACACTGCTTCTTGATTGTTACACACATTCTTACACAGGAGTGAAAGCAGTTCTCTGTTCATCCGTGTCACCCAGAACAGCTGTCTGTCTATGGGAGGAACGACAGATGAAGCCTGTGTGCTGAAAGAACATTACTTCAATTCACTTATCTTGTTCCTGCCCTCTCCTGTTTTTCTCGGGTCAAAGCTGTTAACCTTCCACTCTATAAATCTGAAGTCTGGCCATTTTACTCTGGATCTAATCTGCCTGCCTCATAAATCCAGGACACCCATCGCTGCCAAGTCCCTAGATGCTGTGAATCAATGTATCTAGATGGTCTTGGGCAGATTTATTTATTTTTTTAAATGAAGATTCATTGACACTTTTGAGTTTTTGTCTCTTATACTTAATCCAGTAGTCATATGCTGCAGACTAGGGCTGTCAAAATGGCTGAAAAACTAAATTCGAATTTTGTACTTAAATATTATAAAAATTCGAATTATATTCATAATGCATAATTTCAGTCAGGGTGAAGAAAAGCTTTTGGCTTCTCTCCTGAGGCCACAAGAGGGCGCATCGAGCAAAATATTACTAATGCACTTTTATTCAAAGCATAAGATAAAATGACTATCTGTGAAAAAA